TGCACGGTCCAGGGGAGGATCCGAGACATTCCCGGCCCTCCACGCTTCCCAAAACACCTCATCAGCCCCCAGCACGGCTCTAGCCCAGGCCTCTGCTCCTGGGATGGAGCTGAAGTGTAAATGATGGAGAGGTCGGTGCCTGGAACGCTGCCACAGCCCAACAGGCCCCGGGTGCACATCCAAAAAGCTGCACAAACTCACACTTCATCCCAGGGAACAAGTTCCCCTCTCTGCTTATTCACAGTGATCCACAGGGATCCTGCCTGTGTGTACAGGAATGCTGCTTATTCCAACTTCAACCCCCTCCCAGAACAAATAAATAAAGCAGTGCCTGCTGTTTTTCCATCAGAGAAGGCTGCTCTATCCATCACTTCCAGAGGTGCATGCAGCATCCAGGGATGCTGGGCAATGGAATCAGTTGAGCAGCTGCCACACATCACAAAAGACAAATTTCTACCTGGCTTAAAAAGAACCCAAACCAGTTATTTGCTTCTTTATGCCCTAAGAAGGCGGCAATCACAAATTATAAATTTTTCCCAAAAAGTCAGATATTTAGAGGCATTGGGGCATCTGGGATTTGAAACAGGTAACTCTGAGAATCTGTTCTAAGCACCAGCATCCTCAGTCCCTCCCTTGTTTGTGGTCCATGAGGAAGAATGTTTGCTCCTGGTGTTGGTGTCCCAGGAGAAGAGGATAGTTTTCCTTTGGAAAAGAGTAAATGTAGGAGAAAGCCTCCCTTTGCAAACTTGACTTCAGCACATCTCTCCCCACCAATATCACACTCCCTGATGGGATTCCCTTGGGCTGGACTAACCCACGGAGGAATCCCCCAGCAGCGAGACCCATTCCAGTGCTGTGGAAGGGACCGCTGCCCCCTCCCAACACCTCACCGCCTGCACACCGTGCCGCTGGTTTGTGTTTTAGCTGGAAAACTCAACCACAGAAGGAGAAATTAGAGCAAAGTCGTGTTTGCTTCCATACCTCCACCCTGGCTAATGTCCACTCGCTGCCGCAGGCGGGCAGAGGCCACCGGGGGGGTTTTCCTGCCTGGACCGCGAGCTGTCCCCCGCCAGCCCATCTGTCACTTCCACGCGCGGACACGCCGAGCGCCAGCGATTTCCGCCGGCGCTGCGCGGCCGCGCTGGCGGCGGGCGGGGAGCGCGCCCCGGAGCCCCGGAGCCCCCGGTGCTTCCACCATTGGCGGCGGCGATGCGGACGATGAGCTGGATGGCGTCTCTCATGTAGAAGCGGCCGTCTCCCCCCACCACGAGCGTGGCGTCCTGGCGCTCCGCGGGCGGCACGGTGGCCAGAATGCTCTGGATGAAGTTCTCGGTGTAGTTGGCATTGCTCTGGAACACCGTCACCCGCTTGCGCAGCCCGCTGGTGCCCGGCTTCTGGTCGCCGTAGGGCTTGGTCTGCACGGTCACGATCCGCACCATGGCCGGCGCCGGGAGAGTTCCGGGAGCCGGGGGGAGACCGCGGCCGGCCCGGCCCGGCCCCGCCGCCGCGACCGCCCCTTAAAGGCACCGCCCGCGCTCCCGCCCGGCGCGCTCCGGCACGCGGGGGACAGCGACCCTGTGCTGGCCTGGCCCGGCCCGGCACAGCCCCCAGCACCTCCGGGCCCTGGTGCCCTGCTCCATCCGAGCCAGTGTCACGGAGTCATGGAACGGTTTAGGTTTAGGAAAGAGCTTTAAGGTTTTCAAGTCCAGGCGTTTCCGCAGCAGTGCCACCACTTAAGCCATGTCTCAAAGTACGATATCTACATGGGTTTTAAATCCCCCCAGGGATGGGGACTCCACCAGTGCCCTGGGCAGCTGTGCCAGGATCAGACACTCTCCATCAGGAACTTTTCCCTGAGATCCAATCTAAACCTTCCCTGGCACAACTTGAAGCCCTTTTTCCTCCTCCTGTCCCTGTTCCCTGGGAGCAGAGTCTGACCCCCCAGCTGTCCCCTCCTGTCAGGAGTTGTGAAGAGGTCCCCCCTGAGCCTCCATGTCTCCAGGTGAACCCCCCAGCTGTCCCAGGTGCTCCAGACCCTGCCTGTCCCTGTGGCCAGCAGCAGGATGTCCCCACTGGCCTCACATTCAGAGCTCAAGTGAGCACCCCACAGAAGCAGGAGCCTCCCAGAGCTCCAGATGCAGAGGCAGGGAAGGTCAGCATTAGCAAAGCCTTGAAGAAGCTGAATTTTGTTACAGCTCCAGTTCTCAAAAAAAGGTAACATTCCAGAAGTTGAAATTACCCGATACAGAGATTTTTTTCTCCTAAATGTCTCCCCTCAAAGAAAATAAGTTGGTACCTGTGTTCAACGCTAAAAAGAGAAGCTGGATTTTTTTTCTGTCTTGGTGTTACCTGGATTTGGAACAAACTGGAAAAGACTCTGCAAGTACAACCAAGATCTCTAATCTCATCTCCTCCAGGGCAGGAAAGGTAGAAACTGCCATGGAGACTTTGCCTATGTCCTCACTTAAAAAACTGGATAATGAAACCCTTCCAGGCAGCAGGAAGACAGGAAATAAATGAGGTTTCCTGTGTAGTGCTGTGCCGTGGTTTTTACCTGCAGCAACCCAACTCTTTCCATGTGCAGTGATTTCTCAGCTTTTTCTTTCAGCTTTAACCATTCCTTTCCTAAAATGCAGAGAGAGTTGCATATGAATTCCTGCCACATCTAAAAAGGCTGATTTTACAAACAAAGGAAATGTAAATAATGGACTGCTCACTTTGTAGTGTCTGTTCCACACAGTGTCTCATCATTTCCCAACTCCTTTTTAGACAAGGAGCTGGGAATTTCTGCCTTACCCACATTTTGCCTCAGGCAGCATTTGCAGAGCTCAGTCAGATCTAAAAATCATCAAGTATTTTTGGGGCCTCAACTTCTTTTCAGACAGTTCTGAAAATGGAAATGATACCTGTGGCACTTGCTAAGGGAAAACCATGAAAATCTCAAAGCTCACCAGGAATCCTGCCTGAGTGTGTAAATCAGAGCCCAGCTCTCATTTTGTCACTGACATTTACTTGCCCAGTGTAAGATTACAGCAGAGGAACAGCAGAGAGCAGCACTTGGGGCAGATAAAAATAACTTTGCAACACTACTTGCTGCCCTCACACATGAGGTCACACACTTTTAATGGCTATTTTAAACTCAAACACTTTTTAAGCAGCCACAGGCCAGGGTCATCATTTTTTTTTCCACATTAACAGACATTTAGAGGAACCAGGAAAATATAATAAGCTGAATGTTTTTAGTACCTCAAAGATGGCTTTCATTGCTGTTGCAGCCTAAATTTGGTGCACTTCAGTCTTCTTATTTCAGCTGCCCTGGGAATAATTAATTGCTGTTAACAGTCAAGAGCCCAAGACAAACCTTCATTTTCCTCCAATGATGTTATTTCCTTAGTGCATATGAAAAGGCAGACTTTATTTTATATAAAAGAGTATAAAACCAGGCAGAAATTACAGAACAAGGGTAAGATAAGGATTATCAGCAAATGACCAAAAAAGGGGGGAAAGAAACAAATCCTTTATCAAGTGACAAAATACAATGAGCTTCATCCCTTTATACTTCTGATATCAAAACCACAGGAATGTTTAGTTAGGAACCCATCCAACAAAGTTTTTTTTCCCCTCAGTGAAGCAGTTCCAAACTGTAATGGAATTACAATCCATGGTATGGAAAATATGGGAAACAATCCTTTAAAAAGCAGTTATATTACAACTGGCAGCTGGATTACTGAACAGCACTAATTTTTATTGTGCCTCAGTGTTTTCATGCCAAAATCATCAAGAAATAGAAATGTATGCCAGCTTTTTGAGAAGGACAAGACTATAAATTGTCTAAAAACTGCCCAAAGCTAATCCTGGTTGAGTGTGGCTGCTCCCAGCCCTGGCACTGGGAGGTTTAACACACAAGGGAGTGCACACAGCTGTAAATCCACTCTTCCTGCTCATTCAGGGCCATCACGTGCTGGCAGACCTGGCACAAGAGAAAGCAGAGGTGAAAGAGAATTCTCTTTACTGGAAAACTGTTACCCAGTGTGCTGTGGAAGCAAAATGTTCAGTACTTGTGTCACTAAATGAGGAATATTCATCATCTACACTGACAGATATTCAAAAATTACTCTTGAATTTAACAGCAAAATATCCATAAGGATTGAGCCTATAGTTTATCCTGAATGAAGCCTGAATTTAAATTTAAAACCACCTTACAGGATGAGGCAGTGGATATCTAAAATGTCAGTAGCAATTTAAATAGGCCCCAGCCCTGCCTGTGTCATGGGACTGCTCTGCTTACAGCAGGCTTGAATGAATCCACCCTGGAAAACTGGGAAATATAAAATAGCTTGGATCCCTCTGCTCTTAAACAAAGAAAGTGTACTTTCAGAAAAAGAAAACCAGAGGGTTATTAACAAATAAATGAAGAAAAAAATCATTTGCATCTGTAAAGCATCACATTCCATCCCTCAGGACCCTCATTTGGAATTGTCACTAAAGCCTGCCCAGCTCTGCAGCAGGACTCAGCATTCAAATTGTCTCATGGTTAACATGATCCCTAAATCAAGCTTAACAACAGTTAACCACCAGCAAATCACAGTGTGCACAAGGACTGCAATACAATTATTTCTCTTTCTGATTAGTGCATGCTTGGTCTGCTCTCACAGGCATCAATACGTGGGATTAAAAATTGCTAAGTGAAAAAAAAAAATACAGCCTTAGAAAAAGAGTATTAAAAATATTAGTGAATGGTGCATGTATAGAATGGACAAGTGAAACAGGCCCATGTATGAAAAAGTGGATTATTAACTTTTATAGGAAATTGCACAGGAAGACAGGGATACATTAAATACATGATCAGCTTTGAAATATCAAAAAGTGCATCTGATCTGTTCTGGTCAGAAGATGCCACTGTCCACAAGCTCATTATCATGATAAAAGCCCTACATAAAGAAAATATAAAGATAAAACCTGATTTTCTCTAAAGCTGGCTAAGCAATAAAAAGCCTTACCATCATGGATTTTGGAGCCACTTCCACAGCAAAAACTGTCAGTCCCCTATTGTTCAGGCAGTTCTTACTCTGCTCATTGTTGACATGAATTATCACTTTATTCTCAGACTGCAGGTGAAAAAACATGAAGGAACCATTAGACTTTCCTGGTTAAGTGTCTGTTCTTTGTGTAACAACTGCACAGTCCTTGGACTTCCTGTGACCTTGCTGTTTTAGGGATAGAAATGCTTAATGGATACTCTGATGAGTAACAGACACCCTTTGAAGAGTAACAGTTTCAAATGTACCTTAATGCCACAGCCATGGTCAAAAGTAATTTAAGATTCCAACACAAGGACTTGTGAAGTTACAACCTGGCCTTGTATCTTCCCAGCCTGTCCAGATCCCCCCGTGGAGCTTCCCCAGCATTCCCACCCAGCTTGGTGACAGCCACAAACCAAACCCAAGTGGTATAAACAGAGTGGGCAGAGATCTGGGGCTGAGAACATCCAGTTGTCTCAGTGCAGCTCTGATCTCCTTCTTTGACATATCCCCAAACATAAAAATAACTCTGGAATATCCACCCTAAAGGGCGAAGTGCAAAGCCAAATCCAGAGTTCCAGGAGCCTCAGCATCCAGTCCTAATATTAGCCCCCCCAAGCCACCCCCTTTTGAATGTCTGGACATTTAAAAATATACTTCTTGCTGTGATCTTTCAAGATTTAAAGCACCTGAAGTTTAACATCTTACTGTGCTGTGTTTATTTACTCACAGTTCCTGGTATAAAGGAAACTGAGAACATTCACTGTGATCTATGGAAAAAGGTTTAAAATCTCACCAACCACTTCTACTTGGATTTACAACTTTCAGCTTGAATTACTAATAAAGCACACATGGCAGAACAATCAGGTAAAAACTCACCCTTAACACACTCCTAAAAATCACTGCTCTTTGACTTTCTTGTGGACACTGAAAATATTCAGCAGTGTAAATGCTGTGATCTTTGCTCTTGCTCTAATTGCATTTCCTGCTGTTAGTGTTTGTTTCCTCATATGATGATGATGATATGTCAAAATATTGAAAAATTGGGGTGTGAACACAAAAAGTATTCAGTTTTTATATGGTAATTAGAAGTGCTTGCCTCGTTATAACAATCTGCCCCTTCCAAGAGCACTGACCCAGGCTCTTCTGAAGCCACAAGGAACACATCAGGCAGAGTTTTTTTTTAATGAAACAGACACCAAAAGCTGATTTCAGGAACAGCAACTCTCAAATATGACCCAAGGAAAGAGGAGGAACAATAAGACTTTAACACAAAGTACAAGATGGAAGTTCCAGGCCATACCTTGTTTTCAATCACAGAGGTGATTCTGCTGCCTGATCTGTAGGTGTAGATGAAGATGTTCTCAGAGCCATGCAGCACTTTGGCCTCTCCTTTGTTAGCCACAGACCTGCAGACAGCCCTGCTGAGCTGGGAGCCCCCTGCCTCCAGGGAAATGGCTTTGATTCTGGGCTTGCACCTCTCTGCACAGACATCAATGACAAAGGGGCAGGCCTGCAGTGAAGATGAGTTTTAGCATCACTCCAGCTGTAGTTTTTCCCCTCAGATTTTCACCCACAGCTCCTAAATATTTTCATATTTGAACTAGAATGAGCTGGGTATAAATATTTGCCTGAATATTAAATATTATAAACTGTGAGCTGTGGCAATCTTTTACATCAAATGAAATCCCAAGACAGGTGGCCTTTTTCATGTCCTTCCCAGTACACCTGACATAGTTCAAGACAGCAAACCCTTCCTTGGACAGCAAAATGTCCAGGAATTAAGATGAAACCTGAATGTATTCCAGTGCCTGAAATAAACCTGTCCCACTGTTGCTGTTTGTGCCACCCCACAGAGATTTAACACCTCTGCAATGGTGCATTGAGCACTCTGGCAGTATCTTGGCTACATTTTACTCCTGCTGTAACAACCAGGGGTTTGTATTTTCTTAGACTCAGCCCCAGCACCACAATTCCCTTCCAAAGGCTCTTGGAATCCACAAGGATTTCTCAAGTTCCGTCTCAGTGCTCCCAAAATCTGAAATTATTTGAAATCAAGGAATTAATGACTTAAGTGAGAGACACGAGTTAACAGCTGGAGCTTTTTAGATTAATTACTGAAGCATTTGAGAGCTGTGCTGTCCTTTGGAAAGCAAAGGCTGGAGCCAGAAACCACAGCTGGGACAAGGCACAAAACAGCTTCCTGAAATTCCTGACTGGAGAAGAACCTCCCCAAAATGCTCTTTTTTGGAGGAGGGCTCTCTCTTGTGGCTGAAATGCAGAAAAACAGCCTTGCACGGGCTCTGCCAACCACAAGTCAGAGGAAAAGGAGCTCATCTTTAAATCCCTCAGCACCATCCCAAAATTTTCACTGAGAGACAACTGATATCTCTCATACTGATTATTTTTAGGTCTTGATATGTTTTATATACTGAATATATTGACAACAAACAAAATATATTTTGTTTGTTTAACAAAATTAAATAATATTAATATAGGATATTAATATAATATTATATAATATAATAATAATATTAATAATGATAATATTAAATAATTATCAGACTGATCCTAAAAATCTGCTTTTCCTGGTAATTAAATTATTCTATTTTTAGGTCTTGATATATTTTATATACTGAATATATTGACCTGTTTAACAAAATTAAATAATATTATCAGACTGATCCTAAAAATCTGCTTTTCCTGGTAATTAAATTATTTCATTATCTGTATATTTAATTCGTTAATTTTTCATTACTTTTTCTATTCTTAAAAGAGATCCTCTTTCTTTAGAAAGAATTATTGACATCAGAAATATGTAATAAATATTTCAGAATATAAAAACAAATAAATAATTTTTTTTAATCTGTAAGTGTACAGAAACATCAGAGAAATAATCTCTGATCCTGCAAAGCAATGTGTGACCCAAACCCTAAAATTTTAGTGAAGCATTAAAATTTTGTGTTGAACCTTTTCAGACACTGTTGTAAAAGGCAACAATAACAGAAACAGTTATCTCTGGAAACTAGGAATTCTGAATCATGTGGAAAAAAAAATTATCTTTATCCACTTCTATTGTGGTTTGGGCCACAAATTTGACTTTTTAAAGGAAAAAAAAGTCCTGATTTTTCTAAATTTGCTAACAGGTCACAGTTTACCACCCTTACCTTGCTATCACTCCCCACCAACTGAGTGCATGGATTATTTTAACAGAGGCAACCCAAAATCCCTTCCTCTATAAGCCCATAACATCCTGGCTTTCTCCACAGCAAAGGAAAATTTCTCTTTTCAAAGGTCCAAATGCTGCTCTCAGAATCTGGACAGTGCAGCCCTGGGTGGTGGCAGTGGGTCCTGCCCTCCTGCAATCAGCTTGTGGCAGGCACAAAGATTGCAGCAGTTAAATGTGCAGGGATTTTTGCTCTTTTGTGCTTCTCCTACCTCTGTCATTTCTAAGGCTTTGTTGTAGCCCAGGGACAACAAAGTGACCCAAAGGTCCCAGGGATCCCCATCCCGGTCGTTGGCTTCCATGAGATTCAAATCCAGGAATCCTTGTCTTGTTAGTTCATTCTTCTTCATCTCAAAATTTTCTGTTTCAAAGGAATAAAAACAGCACTTAAAAATCTGTTCTGTCTGCAAACACCTTCATCCTTCCAAAGGCAAAATCCCCCTCCTGTTAACAAGGTTGAAAAGGTGGAGCCAACTTAGAGCCTCAGGATCTCCAAGATTATTTGGGAAAGAATGTCCTTGAGCATTGTGCTGTCTGCAGAGCTGCCCTGTGGATTTGGGATAATGCCTACAAACAGCTGGCTCCTTGGATAACCCCAAAAAAGGGAGATTTCAAAACAAAAAGAGCTCATATGGATTTTTTTTTTCCTAAAATTTGTGGTAGAGCTTTGCAGAATGGGGTATTTTAGGAATGGGAAACGAAAGTCAGCTGGAGCCAGCACCTTGAAATGCTTCAGGTCTTTGATACAGAAATGATTTACTTAGTTCCTAAAAAGCAATAAAATTCCAGTAATCCTAACACCCCTCTCTGGAGAGAATATCACAGATCCACCACTCTAATGTCAGCAAACACATAATTGAAATGTCCTCATGTCAGAGACTTTTAAAAATGGTTTTCTCATCTTCATAACAATGCTAAATCTTTACTATATATTATTAAAAAGGGATTACCAATTTAATAAATCTATCCAAGGGTACAGATGCTGTAATAAATGGCTTGAACTTTGGTGCCAAGATGGATGATATTCGTGTGAACCCTTCCTCTGATTGATGACCTGGTGAAACATTCCCCAGCTCCTCCTCCTTCCTCTCTTATTTATTCACACATTTCCACCCCTCCTACTTGTATCACCCTGGCAAAGCCATCAAGGGTGGAAAAACACATCCAGGCATCAAGAGAGGAGAAATTCAGTCCTAGAGATATATCCTTGTAGGAGTTTTCCATGAGTTAGGAAAAAATCAGATACTTCAGAGTGTTTTGGGAGAGATAACTAAAAGGGCTTGCCAGATTTAAGGTATTTTGGCCAATCTGCCACAGCCTCCAAAGGAATTATGTCAAACATGACATGGAATTACAAAAGGAGACACTGGCAACCCACAAAAACTCTGGATGCCAATTTGTAGCATCAGATCCACACTAATTAAATGTCCCTCTCCACACTTTGTGAGATAAAAAAAGCAGCACCAGCCCAATCTGCACAAAGGAGATAGATTAAACAAATACCTGTGACAGTCTCCTTCCCCATATGATCCAGGATTACAAACCCTGTAGGTTTTGGCAGCTACAAAACAATTAGGAAGGGGAAGAATTTTCTCAGCAGAAGGTCAGTGGCACACACAGCAGAATGAAGCAAAGCAAAGGACAGGAGACTGGAAAAAAAGAAAAAAAAAGGAGGAAGAGAAAAATATCTACACATGTTCTTGGAATAGGTACAGAATATCCAGGCCTATTGGAAGTTAATTGATAGCCTTAATTAGCTGTACCACAGAAATGAACTTACCCTTGCACACAGCCCAGGCTTCCTGGTCACACTTCTCCCCACTAGTCCTCAGCTCAAAGAAGTTGTACTCCTCCAGGCTCAGGAGGCCATTCCCATCCAAATCAATTGTTTCAAATATATCCAACAAAGCAGCTCTGAGGGATGAAAAAGGCCAAACTATTTCCAAAGGCTTCCACTTCCTTTCACTGTCTCATAACATTGCCAAGAACAGGTCAGTCTGTTTGAGATTATTCTGTACAAAGAGTACTTCAGGAAAATTCAGATTTAAAAAGCCACATTTTAGCTGGAAAAGAGATTTTTATTCCCATGTTTGGGAATAAAACTCACCGGAATTCGTTGGTGAGAGCCAGCTCTCCATCTTCATCCCTCCACACCAGTTTGGCTTCTCCAGTAATTTGGGTTTTTGCCTTCCTCAGCCTGCAGCCAGTTGTGAAAGGGAGCAGCCAGTAAAGCCCAGACCCAAGCTCCCCTCTCCAGCCAAACATCTGCTCTTGAAGGAAGACAGAAAAGTTTGTAAGAACTTCTCAAATGATGCCTTTCCACGTTGCCAGTAATATTCATATAAAATTCATTACTTGAAAATGCTGGGAATGCTGGGTTTTCTCCTCAAAAAAAAAAATTTGCTGTGTGATGTCACTTTGAAGATTAAAAAATAGTGAATCTCTTGGAATAAAAGTTAGAAAGAGAGGAGAGAGATGAGGGAAGAGGGGGAAAATAAGTTCATGTTCTCTCATCTCTGCCACAGGAAAAGAATATTCTGTACACTATGAAGTTCAAAGGGCAAGGAGTAAGAAAATTAAAGGAAATTTAAACAAATTTTGCCTTGGAAATGTTGTGTTTGAAGGTGCAGAAATACAGCTGAGTTTTTACAGAGTAGCTGGAAATATACCCAGCAACTGAGCAATTCTGGTTCAGCTGGAATTCCTTCCAAACCCATGGAATTCACACCTCCAGCATTAACACACACACCAAAAAATAACAATTAAAATAGGAATACACCAGAAATCTCCAACCTCTTTGTTCTGGAGTTCAGTAAAGCTCACAAGCTGTAAATTGTCTTGGGTTTCATTTTCCTTCAGAATAAACAAAGCTGTATCCACTGACAACCAGTGACAAGATTTTCCTAGAAAGAAAATATCCCCAAAAATTAATAATAATAATAATAATAATAAATAATAATAATAATAATAATGGCCCAAAATTGTTTTTCTTTGCATCTCAAAATAGATATTCCCATGGTATTTATTGATCCCTGGTGATGAAAAATGGGAAAAAAATCTGTTCTATGCTATTGGGATTTTCTTCCTGTTTAGGCAGGATAAATTGTTCCAAACCTTGTCTTACAGATAATTATTAATTTTATCATTAAGAATTCTTTATAAAATAGTTCCATCATTAAGGGTCAAGAACATCAAGGAATGGTTACACACCACAAAAACTTGTTTAAAAAAACAGGTGACTTTAAAATAATTTTGGGGTTTAAAGGCTCCTGTTTTATGGGATTAAAAAGGGAATATTCTACTTGGGGGAAAAAAATAATTCCAATGTAGCAAGTGGATGAACCCCATGGTAAACCTCCAAGCCAGCAGCTCTTTATAGAAGAAAATGAAATATAAATGCACTCACCTTCTGCCTGGGGAATTCTGAAAGGTTTGATGGTGACACAAACTGCAGATCTCTGGGGTAAGTGCAGCCTGTACTTGTGACTGATGATTTCCCCATTTTCCTCCAGGTAGAAGCAGCCCTTGGATTGTGCACATTGCCATTCCTGGAAACCAAGCAAATATTAGGGGTTTTCTCTATTTTGGATGAAGATAAAAGTGCTTTCTCTGAAATGTTAATTAGTTTGATTATTGAATTAACCCTGCATAAAACGCACCATGAGATACAGCATCAATATACTTTTATTTTTAAAAAAATCCCAAATAGTCCTTTTTATAGACAAATTTTGCAAAGTAACATGGCTTCACTTATGAAAATGCCTGGAAAGCACAGAGATGACCCCAATGCTCCTGTAGCTGAAAAATTAAATTTGGATTGCTACAAAGATTCTGCTAATTATATTTGCAAAAGCTGACATCATGGAATAATTCAAATACAAATATTATACACTTTGCAACTCCCTTTCTGCTGTTCTTTGGAGGTCTGGAATTTTTTTTAAAAAATTAAGATTTTGCTCAAGAAGTTCTAGAAGACTTTCAAAGTAAATTGGCTGTGGAGAAGACAAAGTTTTATTAAAAATAAAGTGAGATGGCCAATCCCTTGGACTGCTGTCCAAGTCCCTGCCCTCCTGTAATTTCCCATATTCTTTTCATTGTGGGCACAACTTGGTGGAAAAGTTTTTAGGGATAATCCTTAAGTGCAGCTATTTCTGGACCATGGAGCCAGAGCTCAGCCCCTGGCTAACTTTTATGGAGTAGAATAAACCTAATTAACAAACCCATTCAATAATTTTATACTCATCTTTATCCATAAAACCGGATTTGTAGTGACACGACAAGGAAAAAAGGGGCCAATCATAAAAAATAATTAGGAAAAAAGTGATCAGAGACAAAATATTCCTGGGATTTAATGGTGAGGGTTGAATATGGAGCAACAGCTGGGGTTGTGTCAGTCAAAAAGTGGATAATGGGAGCTGGGATTAACATAAATCAGGGACAGAATTCCAACATGGAGTTCAGCCCCTCGGATCATTTCCACCGCTATTCCTAAACTGATTATTCCAACACTCATGACTCCTGACTTCACCTGAAAGGAAATTTTTAAAATTGATTTGTTTTCTTAAAACTTGACACATCTGAAATAACTGGTTGTTTGCTCCAAGCCTGATACCTGCCAAAACTGCTGGACAAAACCCTTATCCTTATCCTTTCCTTTTGGGAAATCAAACCCTGTTACTCTGGCAGAGGAGCATAAGGTGGTGCTAGAATCCTAAATTATCAAATTCCAACCATGTATGTAAAATTGGGAAACTAAAAGAGGATCTTCTGAGTGGGTTTTCCTCTGTCACTTCAAAGCAGAAAAGGAGTTGTTGAATAGCAGCTGAAGTGGGAAATGTTTGTGTTAGAAATGTTAATTGGAAAGAAAAGTTAGGCACTACCTGCTGCTGGTCACTGCTACTGACATTTAAGGCAATATTGAAAATATCCACACACTGATGCACAATTCCTAATGAAAAGCAATGATTGAGAGGAATTTTCTAAGGGTTCTTTGTTTTAGACCATATTCTTTTCCATATTTCACCATATTCTGACTTTCACTGTTTTCCTCTGTCAGAAATGTACAGTTGGTGTTGCTCTTGAGGGCAATATTTTCTTACTTGTACAAAAAGACAGGTGAACAGCAAAAATATAAAATAAAATTCTTGGATGTAAGACAAATAAAAAGAATTTTTGAGTGGTGGATTCTGATTCACACCACAAATAAAAGCCTGGGTACTTATTGATTGATTCTGGCAGAGCTTGCATTGTGCAAAATGAAGTTTTAAAAAAATTAATAGTTTATTAATAGGAAATATTTAATTTATATATAATATTATATGTAGTCAATATATTATAAGTATGAATATAATTAATCTAGAACTAATTTTATTAATTTAAAATATTTAATTTATAGGTAATAAACCTTTCTATGTTTCTTAACTGATTTCAGTTCTTGGATGATGCCAAGCAATACCAATCAATATCTCTTTTTTCAGTCAGTTTTTACTGGCTTGTAGAAAGAAAAAAAGAATCCAATCTTGGGGAAGTGTGTGCTGTTTTATACACCCCACAGCACGTTTGAACAAGGTGAGATTGCAGGTTAAACTGCATGGAGGTCCAGCTACCTAAACAGACTGCACAGAACCGCTGGGAGATGATGTTTGGAAATTTAAATATAGAACAAATGTCACTGTACAGCAGTGGGGAAGATCTAAAGGACTTCAGAGCTCAATAACAAATCCAGAGTTGTTATTTGAAACAAAAATGCAGCTCCTGAGGACAATCAGTTCAGTTTTCCAGCAGCAGTTACACTGTGTGGTCAGAACCATTTTTCCCTTTTATACAGGAGTCTCCAGGTGCACATTTTTAATGTATCCCAGCAGTTCCCACTTAATGTTTTATATTTCTACAGCTATTATTTTCTGTTGAAAGAAAACTAGTAAAGGTTCAGTCAAGAAAGGGAAAACAAAGGGAAAAAGATCAATATTAACACTCTACAAATATTGACTTAGCAAAGTGACTTTGTTGTCTCTCTCCCCCAGGAATTTGTATTGAATGAGTGATTTATTTAAAAGAAAATACTGATAGAACATATTAGTCTAACTAAAAATCAATATTTTCAGGTTACAGCATCTATTTACCAAGCAATGCCCAAGAAACTGAATATGCTCACAGATCTGTTATTTATTTCCAATTACCTTTCATGCAGAGGTTTATGATACACAATCTTTCAGACTACTTAAGCATTTAAAGTTCTCACCAACCTAATAAATTATTCAATTTTAAATTTCTCAAGAAGTCATTAACTGTTTTCCCAACAGTGGTTTCATTTATAAAAAACACATTTTGTTCTATTAAAGCTTCACACCTGAAAAATTATTTCCAATAACTTGTTGTCAGCAAAACCAACAGTATATAAAAATGTTAATAATAATACGTATCAAGAAAGCTCTCAGTAGTTTATAGCTGCCCTTGACAAACTGTAAATAAAACATAAGACACCATTTTTCTCTGATTTTTAGCTTCTTTAAAATGCAATAACACAGGTGCCTAGAGGAAAACACCATCATGTCAGTGTGATACCTTCATTGTGTCAGGCTCAATAATTAGCTTTGTGTTCCTGCTGCTGCTGGCACCCACAGTGACAGTGGTGGAGGTGGAAGCTTTGCTGCTTTGAGCTGATGAAGGTCTTGAAGGAGTTCTGCTGTCACCTAAAAACAGAGATATTTAATTACAGTCACATTATTTCAACCCCCTCCTAGTGCTATTTATCATAAACCTTGCATTTAGGAGCACAAAGAAAACTGGCTGACCAGAACTCCATCAGAGGACTTCCCTTCATCACTGTTGTGTCATTTTTGCACCTCTTTGATTTGAAGCAACTTGGAACAGTACAAACTACATCCCAAAATTTCATACTTAGGACTTCATACTGCAGTCCATTCCCTGTGGAGTTTTTGCAGTTTGGGAAGGTTTTGAAGTATCTTTGTAACTTCAGGAAGAACATTAAACTGTCCATAACTTATTAATTGTGCTTGAAAAGCAGCCTCAATTATTGAAACAAACACACAGCTTATTGAGAAATAGGGTTTCACCTCTGATCTAGGAAGGAAATAAATAGTTTGCCTATGTTGCAACACCTGAGCATTAATTTTCTCTCCTCCCTCTGGAATGTGCCACATGAAAATCAACAGAATGCACCCTTAGGAATTTGTGAGTTTCACAGATGCAGCCATTTGAATATATTTTACTGACACACTGACGTGACTGCCACAGCAGAAATTATAGTCATCAATAAAATCTTCACTAATCTGAGAAAAATTAAACAAAAACTCAACTGCTCACTGAGCCAGAGCTTCATTTCCAACAGAAAGAAAACACAAAACATAAGAAATTTAACTACCTTTAGGCAGTCTGTGATCAGTTTTCCTGCAGACCCTCGGGGATGGTTTTGACCCTGGCAGTGTGATCCCTTCAGGGACATTTTCAGTTTGATTCCCAAAGTGCTGCTGCCTCAGTCGAGGGTCAGTTTCCAGCCTGTCCCTTGCAGCTTTGCAGCACTGCTCCCTGGTGCTCAGGTACAGCTCACAGAACTGGAGAGAACAAAAGAATATTTCACTTACCAAGCTACGTTTCTCAAAAGGTTTTAAGGAGTAAAATGCAGCTCAGCAGATGGAATGCATTTCCTCTGCAAGCCAAACATAATTTTAATTTTCATTAATCAGGACTATCACTCAATGCAGCCATGATTCAACAAGGAGGTCCAAATATTGAACAAAAATTAAGTGTGACTTTCAACTTTTCCTTTCTACATATTGGAAGACTGATTTTTTAGCATACCAGCTTTCCTCCTATGAAACCACATTTATGTGCCAATCTTTGTGGGCTGTTTATTCAGCCCAAAATTTAGAATCCTGGGGTAAGGGCATCACTAATGCTCATATTGTCAATTACAAAAGAACAAATATCACTCTTGGCCATACCTTGTTGTAGTCAAGTTTGCCATTGCAGTTAAAATCAGCTTGTTTAGTAATGCTGGTCACTTCCTCCCAGGTCATCTTATCACCTCTCTGCAAGGAAAAAGCAGCTCAGTTTGGGTTCCTAATCAAGAATCCTGTTCACCTACTGCACAAATTCCATAAACAAAGGAAAAGCCTTTTTATACTCTTTCAGAGAATCTTATCTTGCAACAGATTTCAACAGATTTTGATTTGAATCATGAAAACAGAGGTCAAAATCATTAAAAATGTTGTCTTTTCAATGCTACTAAATATCAAAGAGATCAACTGTATCAGTTTATGTAATTCTGTGGTGTCTTCCAGAAACCCACCATGAAAATCTTCCATAAAATGGGGAACCCAGCTCCCAGTACCATCTAATTTCCAAAATCTCTACTAATTAAGGATGGATAATTAGGTTTCTAGTGATACTTACTGTTGTAAGAATTTTACAAAGTTCATCATGTGAAATATATCCAGTCTTAGCTGTGTCTATTTTACCAAATGCTTCGAGCAGTTCATTTTTTGTAGCTGGCTTTTCTTTTTTTAAAATAGCACAAAAATCATCAAAATTCAGTGAAGATGTTTGTGAAGTCCAGTATTTCTTAATGGTCTTCTGAGAAGGATTTCTTCCAGCCTGCTGAAGCACTGAGTAATAAAACACAATATTACATACATATTCCAGTGTTAAAAAGGAGTTTTCTCCAAACATCCTTGAGCACTTTCCATGTTCAGATTTTTTTAAAGCCAAATCACTCCAAGAGAAAAGCGGGTCTGAAGAACAGTTTTGGTTATGATCTTAATCAAAATATACATTAACTCAAAAACAGTCTCAAGTGTAAAATTCAGCCTATATCCAGGGTCTTAAAAATAATATATTCTTGATACTAAGTCTTTTAAGTCTGCACATGATTAGATCCTATTTCTACTAACACCAACATCATCTTTGCACTGCCTTTGCCAAGAACTGAAATCTGGAGTAGAATTTATCTGAGACAATATTTTATGCCATGCCTGTACATCTGAATGTATCAATTCAAATTATACATGAATTTTAAGGGAAAAATGATACCACCAGGGAGCCAATGCCACACATGCAACCAGTGCCATGGGTGTTACACCTGGCATTCTCCAAAATGAATTTGCTGGATCTATTTGTCTCTTCAAGGCCTTTACCAAAAACATCCTTTCAGTTTTCAGTGCATTACATTAAATGGAAATTAAATTCAAATGCACAGTCTATCTGAAATGAGAGGGATGCTTTTGTATCTTCCCAAATAATCTTTAAGGGAAGCACAGGAGTTCCTCCATCTCCACCTGGGCTGGCATTTGATTTTGAGCCAGCTGAGCAGTGCCCAAGCCTGTGCTGGGAAGTGCTGAAGAGCATCTGTGAAATGAGGTGGTGGCATCGTGACAATGCTCAGTGGGACCCGTGTCACCAGCAAACCAACCAAACAAACAAGCAAACCAGCAAACCAGGCACCTCTGCTGTTAATCCCTGCTTCGTGCCAAGCACTAAATAAAGATTTGTGCCCTGCCCACCTCTGCTGGATGAGCCAGAACAGAGCAGGGCTCACATCTTTATCCTGGGCACGGAGCAATGGTTTGGGGACATCCTGGCCACTCCTGGGCACGGAGCAATGGTTTGGGGATTTCAGTGGCAAGGGCAGCCAGGGAAGGAAGGGCAGTGACTCTGGGGTTTGCTCCATGGATAGGAGAGCTCCCTGGAATGTCAGAGCAGCACACTATTGTATTTGACAGATATCCTTCAAATATGCAATCTTTAATTTCATATCTCCAGGGAATCAGCACTTGCCATTCCATACATGCCTCCCAATTTGTATCTGTGAAAGCTCAGTCAGACTGCACCTTTTATTTATACTTCTTTATGATCTGCTTCTGCTAAATCACTCCAGACAGGAAATGAAGCTACTCTTTGGGGATAAGCAAAATCCTACAAATAAAATTTCCCAGGGCCAATCTCTCACTTTAGTTTGGAATATCAGATAAAATTCTTGAAGCAAGAGGGGCTTAAACATTGGTACCACTCGTTTGAGAAATGCCAAAATTGACTTAAGATGAAATATAAGTCTTTAACTCTCAATGCTTACAAATTCTAAATTAAATTATTAAATATCTCTGGAAGGATTGAGAGTCTAAACAATTAACTGCCCTCTCCAAGTCGACCTTGAAAGCAAAATGCCCAAACACTTGCTGTGTAGCCAAGTGGCATATGGACAGAGCTGAAAGCCAAAGCATTTATTAGAGAGATGACATTTGTTCACACCACCCCTGTTAAAATCCAGATTATCCCAAACTATCATTAGGATGTCATAAAGGCCCTTTTATTGCAGCTGGGAAAGCCTGGAGAGCACCAAGTCACAAGCTGTAGGAATATGCTTGTTAATGGGTGGAATTTCATGTTCTGCTGTAGGGAAAGAAGCAACAATCAGTGCACTCAGCTTTTACAGTGGTGGTTTCCATGAAAAACCCTTTAAAAAAGAACAAAAATGCTCTAAGAAAAGAAAAATCATCACCCAAAGAGAGCATACAATCCTACAACTCCAAGAAACTGCAAAGTTGGAATTGTATTTGCTTGAGGAATTTTATCTGCCATAGGGAAACCTCCTTCAAAACTGAGGTTCTTTATTACTCAGTCTTACTTTACTCTTTCCTTATCTTACCTGGTCAATAATATACATTATTAAGAAACCAACATCCATTTTTCAGGTAAATTTTTCTCACTTTCCTTTGAAATTCGTGAGGTTTTCAAACCAAAGCCCCACAGCTTTCACTTTCTACCAACAGTCTTATTTAGTGCAGCTGAAGCAGTCAGAGATTTGTTTTTTCTGTTGTACTGCTGACATCACCACCACCACTACTTATACACAAATATAGTCTGGACAAAAAAATTAGAATTTTAGATTCCAGTATACAAAAGTAATTCAGTAATTCAGGAGGAGCTGAGATAAGGAGTAAGGATTCTTATGGAACACCAGTTATGGTGGGTTTTTGTGCCAGGACAGAGGCCCACTCTAAACTGAATCACCTTTCTAAATCTAAATCACCTTTCCTACTGGTGATTTAGAAATAAAATCTATAATAAAACAATCCACAATAAAATGCCTCTGTGTGGCATTCCCACTTCCAGCAGGCATCCAAAACTACTCTCAATCCCTTAAACCAGTTACTGAGTTTATGCACAGGGATAGCCCCACTGCAATCATCCCATGGAAGAGTTAGAGGGAAAAAGATCCAATCATTACCTAAACTCAGTTGCTCTTTTGATTTAATATTTTCTAAGCTGCTTTTTAAGACAGTCAGATAAGCTGCTCTGCAGTTCATGTAAAAAATGGCTTCTTCTGCATGCTGGGACTTCTTCCCTTGGGAACTTTCTGAGTGTTTGGCTTTCTGAATTCCAGGAGTGCTGGCCATCCTGTGAGGGATGAAATTCCAGTTAGAATTTGTAATTATCTTAACAATGCCTCTGTCCTCTGAAACACAGACTAGCCCCAGTTACCCAAACATCCAGGCCATATCCTTTCTTTTCTCTCAGTCTGGGATGGGAATTATTATCTACACTTGTAGGTAAGCACCATGAGAGCCGCAAGCAGAAAGAGTTTGAGCTCTACTTATTACTCACAGTTTATCCTTCATTGGCAGTAAAAAGTTTAATTTCACTGTATTTTATATAGTTGCAGGCATTTGATATTGCAAGTATTCTATAAATATTATGTAGTTTTGATTTTTGAAAGCACAAAAACACATTTTCATGTTATCTGTGAAACAAGGCTTTGCCATCCATGTTTTCTCTTTTTACTCCTATAACTCAACAAAACATATTAATAATAAAATTGGTCAAAATGGGAACCCTTAATCTCAAAAAATGCCAGGTTGAGCACGGAATTCTATTTTTTGGGTTACTTAAATATAAATAATAGAAATAAATGTGCATAAAACTTTGAGCAACACAGGTCTTTTAAATCCAAGGCCCATACAGTTATAACTGAATGGAAAAAAACCAAAACCATATTTTTTTTTCTCAATTATTAAAACAACTCATTGCTGTTTGCTCAGCAATGGTCAGCAAACTGTGACAGCAGCTTTCTGCTTCCACCAGGGGTGATTAAGGTTTTTAGAAGGCCATCACACAGGGACACTAAATCCTGTTGTGCTGCTGCTTTAACAGCTTCTTGTATTATTTTACCCAATGTTGGCTTCAGGAAATATATTCCAGTATAATAAATGGAATATCTCAAGTTCAGCAACAAGACAACACCATCCCAGGTTCTCCTTCAGGACTCATTGGGTTTTTACTCAGGAGGCCTCAATCACTGGCACCTTGTTGAGTTATACAGATGTTTTACACTTGGGAAAGGCAGATAATAATTGCTTATCAAGGATGAAGTACCCAATTTGTAACTGCCTGACACTTTAATATTATACAGGCACCAGAAGGAGCCCACAGGGACCCCCTGGCACAGCCTGGCCCCTGCAAACAGGTGTCACTATAATGAAGCACCAGTGTTACACACATGGAATGAAACTTGGGGGGGAAAGGCAAGGAGGAGAGGAAGAAGAAATGTTAATTTTCCAGTAACCAGTTTAGAAAATGTGAACTCCTGCTTGTAGTCCTCTGACTTCCCATTACTGAGGCATTTCCCATTTATGTGGGTCGAGAAGTGCTGCCAATCCATCGCTGGGAAATCCAGTGAGCAATGGCTTAGTGACAGCACTGCCAGCAGCCCCACAGCTCAGGCTGGGACATTCCTACTGGATAAATGACACTTCAGAAAAATAGACAGAGGGAGCAATCCAGCCCAGGCTTCCAAACAGGCAGAGAGTAGGTTTAGATTAGAGATTGGGAAGAAATTCCTCCCTTTGAGGGTGGGGAGGTCCTGGAAGCTGTGGCTGCCCCTGGATCCCTGGCAGTGTCCAAGGCCAGGTTGGATGGGTGTTTCAGCAACCTGGGATAGTGGAATGTTAGCCCTAGTGAATAGTGGAATAGGAGTCCTTGCCCATGGGTGGAACTGGACGAGTTTTAGGCCCCTTCCAACCCAAACCAGTGCAGCATTCTCAGCCCAGAGCACTGCATGCCATGCCCAGTCCTGCCTTGGACATCTCCAGGGATGGGGACTCCAGCCCTCCCCGGGCAGCCCCTTCCGATGTCCAATCGCCCTTTCTGTGAGGAAATTCCTCCTGATGCCCAAAGTCAGACCCTCCGTGGCAGCACCGACCTTCACTGACAGGCTCACCCGCACAGAACCCACACCGGCACAGGGCAGCTCTGCCCTGCTCCCGCCGCATCCACCTGAAACGAGGAAACTTTTCCCGCATGGATCTCATCACCTCCCTCCCTCTCTAGAAGGGACAGGGGGCTTCAAGGGCTAAATTTGCCACCCACCGTAAAAAAAAAAATAAAAATTAAAATTACAATCCCCTTCCCCCAGCCCTGAGGGGAATCAGCCCTCCCTCACTCCCTCAGCCCTGCTCGGCCGTCCCTGAGGGACTCCTGAGGCGAGTTTGGCCGCCCCGAACCCGCCGCCCGAACATCACCGGCCCCGGCCCGGTTCCTACCGCGCACAGCGGGACTCGACGAGCCCACACGGACACCGGGCTCGGGCTCGGCTTCGGTCTCGGGGGTCTCGGTCTCGGCCCCGCAGCCCGGCCGGGCTCCTCGGCCCGGCTCCGCCCCGGCCCGGCCCGGCCCGCCCTCGGCGCCAATTCCAGCCGGCGGCGTTTGGCGGGCACACGGCGGGAGCTGCGAAGGGGAGGCGGCGGGAACGGCTCCGGGATGTCGTAGGTGTCTGGGGAGCGGGGCAGCGCTGCTCTCCCTCTCCGTCCGCTCTCTCGCCCCTTCCTCTTCTCCCTCCCTCCTCTTCTTCTTCCTCCTCCCCTGTTCTCTTCCCTCTGTCTGTGCTCTCTCCTCTCCCACCGTCCCCTCACGGCAGCGGGTCGGTTCCCGCGGACTCCGCCGTGAGGGGAGCGCTTCTCCCGGCGGGCTGCGGCTCCCGAGCGCGTTCCGTGAGGGGATAAACGCTCTCCGAGCGGGCCCGGGGAGGGAGGAGCGGCTGGCGAGGGGCGGGATTTGTTTCCAGAGGGAAACAAACCGGGAAATGCTGGCGGCGGTGGCTCCTGGGGCAGCGCTGCGGGCGGTGCTGCCGCTGTGGGAGATCCTCTCTGGATTCTGCATTTCTGAGGGGTCGGGGGCGGCTCTGCTCACAGGAGCCCAGCGACGAGACGAGGAGCAATGGCCGTAAACTAAAACACAACGAGTTCCACCTCGGCATCAAAAACAGCTGCCGTGCGCTGAGGGTGGCAGAGCTCCGGAGCAGCTGCCCAGGGAGGCCGTGGAGTCTCCCATTCAAAGCCTGTGTCGCCTGCTCCGGGTGACCCTGCCCTGGCAAGGGGTTTGGACTGGATGAGCTCCAGAGATCCCTTCCAGTCCCAGTTATTCTAATTCTATATCTCTACATAGCGTGGATAACACGCGTGGGGCTGTGTGGGAGAGGGCCAAGAAGAAGGATCACAAGATGGTTCAGCTTGGAAAGGACCCACAGTGGGTCATCCCTTGCCATGGCACAGGCTGGCATCCAGGCAGGTCTGGAATGTCTCCAGTGAGGGAGACTCCACATCTTCTCTGAACAATCTGCTCCAGTGCTCAGTCACCGCACTGGAAAGAAGTTCTTCCTCACATCCAGGTGGAACCTCATTTTCTGCCCATTGCATCTTGTGGCATTTCTGGGCAAAGCCTGGTCCATCCTCTGACCCCTCCCTTGGCCACCACTAAAGGGATTGGCAAAAAAAAAAAAAAAAAAAAAAGGCAGGTTATGGTATGAATTTGTAAAAGTGTGGCTTCAACAGAGTTTGATGGCAAGCTTCACTCTATTGTTCCCTACAGAGATCGAGCATACACAGGAAAATGGGATTAGGATCAATTTAGAATGATTTACATGGAGACCAGGGATGCAAAAGGGTCACGGGGACAAGGAGATGGATACAAAAGATACAGGTGCAAAAGAGTTTAGCAGCACTTAATCACTGACTGGTTTAATATTTATAAAGTGATTCAACAGGATTTACTACAATTACAGCAGTGAGTAAATTATAAATTCACACACGCTCAGGTGCACAGAGGTGGGAAGGAATTGCAGGCCTGTGGAGATCAGGGCATGACACCCCCCATGCCCATTTTCCATCAGGCTGTAGCTCTTCATTTTGTCTCCAAAGGGAATAAATCCTGCTCATTTTTCTCCTATATTTTGCAATTTATCAAGCAGTAAGTAATTAATCAAGTCATGTAAGTCTGGTGCTGCTCTTGTGTATCTCTGCTTTTGGAGATACAGAATGGGCTCATCGTGGGCTTCTGGAGATCAATAAAGAAAGTTCTTTAACCTGAGGAGTATTAGGCACCAAATAATCACTGCAGGTTGTGCAGCTGGCTGTAAACATGTGCCATCATGTTCTGCACGGTTAAGAAAGTAAATTAAATTAAGCCTTATATAAATAAATAAATTAAGCCTTGTCAGGCTAATTCAGGGGTAGGAAACTCAGGTTGAATACTCTCACCACAAGTTCCTCATCTTTTTGTCTCCTTTTCTCGTTCCACTCTGACATTTGGTTCTAAACCACAGTCAAAGTGAGTTATATTAAAAAAAAAAAAAAAAAAACAAAAAAAACCCCTAAGAATGGTTTCTTAATGTTGTTTGCTAAAATGCTTGAGAAATTTTGTTTGCATGTATCATTTTTTCCCCCACATTCTTCTTGTGGAAGATCAGAGAGAGGTCAGTTCAGCCAACAGGATTTTCATGCGAGGAGTTGGGATGAATTTGGTTTCAGGGGTCTCTGTGTAGAGTTGGAGCACAATTTTTAAATTATTTTGATTTAAGTTCTCCCACTACGGCATTGAAAAGACAATCAGTAAAAACAAGCCCCCAAGCAGACCAAGCTGTTGGGTGGCACAAGGCAAGGTTGATCTCCTAAAGCTAAAATTCTGTTTTCCAAGACAACATTCCAGCTGTTTCCAACGTTGAAGGGCTTGGAATGAGGTTCCACCTCTGCCCCCGTGGTTCAGGGTTCTTGCAGAGGGCAATCTGGGCTGTGTGCTGCTCTGTTGCTGTGCACAATATCTGACAGCCTTCAAAGAACGTGGCTCTCATCAGTGCACAGCTTTCCCCCTAAGAAATGTCCTCAGTGTTCATAACTCAGTGGGATTTTCATGTAGTTTCTCATTTATTTCATCCTACAGCTGTGATCCTGCTCCTGATCTCCTTTGGCTTTCAGCTCCTTTGGACACCTGCCATAAAAACTTCCATCAGAACATGCCTTGGTGTAACATGCAAATGCATTGGCCCCCAGAGCATCCTTGCAGTGTGGATGCATTAATAAATGGAATATTTCTGTGCTGCCACGAGCTGGAAGCTGTAATGGAGTCGGGATTCCTTGAGCTATATGGGGTTCTCTTTAAAAAAGAAATACATTGTAAAGAATTCCATCAAACTGTGGCAGCTTTGGCTGCCCTTTGGCCAGGATTTCAGAGGCCTTTTTAATTTAAATGTTACCTGTTTACTTGGCTTTTTTAAGACAGGATATTTCTTTTCCCTTTTTTGTAATAGAAATAGCTGTAAAACAGTTTTCATAAAAGACCCTTGCCTGAGTTACATATCAAAGATGTGTTTCCATTCTATTTTCCCAATCCTTTAATTTACAGTTTTGGAATAGCAGCATAAATTTGAAAAGGATATGTTTGGAATGAGGTCATCTAAATTCCTTACAAGGCAAAACATTCTTTTTCCAAGATGAAAACTGAACTAAGTTCTTGAAATATGATGTATCTTCCAAACCCTGTTTAATTCAGTACAATATATATGTTTCTTGGGGACTGTTCTTGCAAAGATTTTTTTTTTCTCATCGTTTTACATCACGCTTTAAACTATTGTAAAGATTTAGGAATGTGCTTAAAAAGTTTCAGTTGTCTCTGGGAAAAATAGTCTTAATTTATGTTGACCTTTCTTTCCTTGGAGCATTTCGCCTGCATTCAATAAAATTTTGATGACTGCTCTTTAGCAGACAGCTGTACCATATAAAGTATTATAAATATTCAGCTTTCCTCTTCCAGTGTTGCCATTAACAGCTGGGCATCCAGTTCAGAGGAGCAGATTTTGCAGAGAGAGCTTGGCATGTTCCTGAATCAGGAGAGGGAAGAAGGGAAGCAAACAGTTTCTTATGGTTTGGGGACCTGTAAAGACATAGAGCATCTGTTCCCCAGTTAAGTCATAGGCTGGTAGCACTCAATCATGTTAAGAGCTAAAATGATGGGAAAAACTACTTTTTTCACCTTGCCTGTACCTGTGTCTTAAATGTCTTAAACATTATTTCGACTAATGGCAAAATAATTCCAAGCCTTGCTCAGAAGGTATGTAAATGGAAATGCTTGGGGGGGGTTTGTTGTTTATAGCCTTGGAGAAAAGATAAATACTCAGCATGACTTCACTTCAGTGCCTGGATTTTATCTCTGGTATAAAATGGAGAATCAGATTTTCTTAGGCAAACACTTTATCCTTCTAAACAAGCAACGTTCAGGGAATGGCTTTGCTTTGGATGCCATCAGTAAATGAAACCAAAAAAGGAAACTGTCTTTAGCATTATCAATTACAGACCTTACTAACAGAAATCTTTGTGTCTACATGACCATAAAACCTGTCCATGTTTTTCTCTTGCAGGGTTAAGAGAGCATTAAATTTGGACACTGTTAAAAAAGATAATGTAAGTATTTTTTGGTATCTGGAGCCATCTGGGCTGTATAAATATAGATGTATGTATATCTGTGTGCAAAAATAAATGTGGATATAAACAATCTATTTCATTTTAGCTGCCTTTATGTTGTTACAGATTAGATGTTGTCTGGGCAAATCTTAAAGCACAAAATTACTGCTGCAAATATTAGTACAAAATTGATTGTATTTCATTTGTCACAGAACTGCCTGGCGTTAAGTAATGTACATCTGCATGAATCACTTGAAAAATGTGCATATTGTTATTGCCACCACTATTTCCCCAAGAGCTGAATGAGTTAAGATCCTTGGTGAAATCATTTATTAGAAATTAGCTCCATTATCCTGGGAAGCAAACGTTCTGCCATGTAATTGTACATGTGACAATATGGAATTATGATAATGCTGTAATCTGCATATTAGAAACTGCAACACTGAAATGAAAACATTAAAGGCATTTTCATGTCAGGGCTGTAATTACCTCCCTCAGCTAATCTGGCATAATGAAACAATAAACTCCTAACGCTGCCATCAATTTCACCGCAGTTATCACAACCAAAATAAAATTGTACTGGTGCTGTTATTTGTTGTAAATGCAGCTCCAGCATCCTCCCAGGCACCAGCACGTCGTGACATATGTCACTTTATTACCTCCCACGGTGGCTCTTGCTGCAGCCAGCAGGGCACAGGAGCTGGGGAGGGTGGCAGGGTGCAAAGGAAGGACGATTTTGGAGAAGTACAGAGAGAAAGAGCGGGTCAGCAAACGAGCTCCCCATGAATCTCCAAGCCTGGGTCGTTTTGAAGAGGTTTTTGTATATGCAGCACGTATTTGGAGGCCTCGGTGGTATTGAGCAAGGCAGAAATTGGGCATTTTTAAAAATTCCAGATAGTTATTTTTTGAAAATTCCAACAGAGGTCGCAAAATACCGCA